ATATTATTAAATAATCATCAACGTAACGTTTTACCATTCTAATACCTTGTATGTTTTGTATTTTTTTGTCAATTTTTTTCATAGTTAATTCTGCAAGTTTTGGCCCCATCCTTGACCCCATACTAATACCGTCTATCTGTTTGTAATATTCATTGTTTATACTAAAGTAATTATTATTGTATGCGAATTTGATTAATTTGGTTAACTCTGGTGTAACATCATTATTTGTTATACTTTGTTCTACTAGTTCCCATTTTATATTAGGATACATATTTTTAACGTCTAAACTCATCATAGTATCTGAACTTTGTAATTTAAACTTGTAAAAAGCATTAATTATTTCATCGGTATTCTTAATGCTACTATCAGAGTTATTAATATGATTCAATTGTTTTTTAATATAAGTTTCTAAATTATACAAAATTGAATTACGAAAGTCTACTAAAGGTCTATATTGTTCTAATTGTTTGTGTGTTTTTAGGCGGATATTTAATTTAGGGGTTCTATTGTTATTAAAGTTTAATATTTTATTTTTATTTTCTTCATTAATGTTGTTTTTAGAATATATATCCTTTATGATTTTCGTGAGTTCTCTTTTTATTTTTTCATATGGGTTATCATCTAATTTCTGGTATATATCTGTGTTAATTTGTTCTTTTAACTTTTGTTTTAAATTTTGTTTTTCGATTATTATGAGTTGTTCTGTTTTGTCGGCTTTAATTATAGTTAAATCATGTTGTTTCATGAAGGTAATGGTTTTTTGTAAATTAATTTTATATTTCTTTACTTTATGCCTGTCTTTTTGTTGTTTAAATTTAATGTTATGTGTAACTATATTTATTAGGTTATTTTTTCTCTCCTTTTTAATAGGTAGGTCTTTTATGTTTTTATCTATTGTAGCTATCATATCTAACGTTAATTCATTTATAGGTATATTAAATTGGCTTCCCAGCGCTAAAAATTGAATTATATAACTAGGAATGTGCACTTTAGTCTTATTTATAACTAAGTTATCTTCCCATTTTCTTTTTTCTTCTTTATTAGGATAATTAATATATTAATAATATTTAATAATTATCATTAATGGAATTAATTATTAATTATTGTTACATTAGGTTATATATATTTATTTAAAAAAGAACACAATTACAAATGCTAATAATCATTGTTCAATTTAAGTTAATATAAACTAAACCATACAGTATATTAAATATTTGTATACTTCAAGGATAAGATTAATTATAAATTAATCAAAGCTCGAAGCCATGGCCAGTTTTATACACAAGCTTAATTAGGGCCTCGCGTTATCAATCCATAGATTAAGACAATGGCGCCCAAACTGTTCGGTTTGCTGATTATAAGTCACAGGAGGCCCACAAACACAGTCGACCCCTCCTATAACACTGTTGATTATTCCGTTTTATATGAATTCCATGTTGTACGAGTCACTTAGATTTTACAAATACGTGTGCCGGGCTGTGAACGGCTCACGTATTTGTAAAATCTAAGTGACTCGTACAACATAGAATTCAAATAAAACGGAATTATAGGGGGGTCGACTGTATTTACCATATATTTAAAAATGTAGGCCCATTTCTCTTATTTATAACTGGTGTATTAAATGTTAGTGAGCAGGATTTGGTCCGAGGTCTGTAGTTTGGGTACCATTGGCTCGGGGCCTCACATTTTTTTACATTCGAAGAGAAATGAATGCCATTTAGAAACGTTCTCACCTCTATCCGAAACTCTTAAAATTATATAAGATGAAGGCCTCCTTTTTATCAGGATACGTCAGTCTTTAACTATTTCTTACCATTAAATTTAATATAATTGAAAACAGGATTAAATCCAAATTTATTACTAAAATAAACACAAAATATTTAAAAATGTGCTTAGTTATAGAATATTTAAAAAAAAAATAAGTAATATTTGCAAAAGACAACCTCCCCTGAAGGAATTCAGAATGTTGGAGCAATGACAATAACCAAACTAACAAAAAAAAAAAAAAAAGACGAAAGGACACGTGAATAATATGGCTAAAATTATCGCAAATGTTTATATATACAGCATTTTTTACGCAATAACAATTACACTTTTAGATTCTTAACATTCTATTTTAGTCTGTTGTAGTTTGACAACTGCAAAGTAACAAAATATATTCGACAGAGAGCAATTATTCCGACTGCATCATTTCATCCACTTCACTAACAGTTATGTTGGCACCGTCCATATATAAATAAATAAAAACGCTTTTCTACTAAAAGTATACATCGTTAAGTAATACTTGGTACCAAACTTCCGCCAGTTATATTCATTCTGGATACAACAGCTCCTTTTAGAAAGGAGGCAATAACTCCCGAGCGCCATTTTTTTTTTCTTTCTTTCCTTTGCTGCATACATTTCATTGAAGACTTCAACTGTATATTCAGTCATTCATACAGTTTTTAACCCAACAGTTTTTTTTATATAACTACTTTTTTTTTTTAATCTTTGGCATTGCTTATCCACATGCGAGGATCTTTATCTAACCTTTACCTTTATAATTGTAACTAGTTCCAAAATAAACATGTTGCAGCGTATGGTTTACTTTTAAGTTATGTTGCAGCAAAGGAAAATTGATTTTCTCTTGCAAATTCCTTTCTAGAAACTGTTGATAATATAATTTTTTTTACAGAAGTAAATGCTGTACGAATTTAGAATGGTAGGGGAAAAAAAAAGGAAATTCTCATTTAAACTTACACGTGGTCCTATATATGAGTGGTAATTTTGGCACAATCGCTAACATAAGAATCATCCTTTTTAAAAAAACTGTTTAACTAATTATATAATAATTATCTTGCCAAAATAGATAATATTTAAGAATACAAGTCGACCCCCCTATAACACTGTTGATTTTTCCGTTTTATATGAATTCCGTGTTGTACGAGTCACTTAGATTTTACAAATACGTGTGCCGGGCTGTTAACGGCTCACGTATTTGTAAAATCTAAGTGACTCGTACAACATGGAATTCATATAAAACGGAAAAATCAACAGTGTTATAGGGGGGTCGACTGGTATATCACGTAAAACTAACACGAATTTAGTGTTTAAAATTGTAAACAAACAAAAACTTTAGGCAAAAAAAAGAAATAATGCTGTAAAAACTTTTTAATTTAAAGAATTTAAAAGAATAATACTTAATTTTTGTGTATTTATTTTAGATTTTTATATACTTTTTATTGTTTATAGGAGGCTTCTAGAACAGTTTTGACAGAAACCCAGATTCAAGGTAAGATTTAAAGCTTCGTTAACACTTTACTTTTAGTAATTGTCGAGTCGATGATATTGAAAACAAAAGACTTTTTTAGAAATAAGATTAGATTACAAACACTATGTTAAACAATTGGAAGAAAGCCAAAACATTCTCAATAAAAGCAAGACCTCTTTGTTTACCAAAATTAATTTTAAAAGAAAATAAAAATAAATCTATTATTAAACTCGAATTTTAATAAATATATATCATTTAATTGGTTTAAAAAAATAAAAAAATTAGATAAAATATTATAATTTATATTTAAAAAGTGTAGAATTTTAATCCTTATCACTCTATGTGTTAATTACATTATAGGCTTTATAATAGCATTGTTTGTAACATAATTAAATTAGTGTATCTTGCTTGATGTATGTCATTAGACTTTCAAGATTTGCATCAGAGCATTCGAATTATGTAGTTAAACAATAGAATCATAACCTTTTATATCTCGTGTTTACAAACTTCACATCAGTCCTATCGTACTTAAGTGTTATATAAATATATTAAAGAGTAGTTAATTTATGTGTAGTAGTAGTAGTATGGGGTGATATAATAAAAACTATAAACTTGTAACACTGTATACTTCGACATTACTTCAAAATATTTTCAATATGAAAGACGTGGTGCCACGTGTTCATCAATTGTACTAGTTTCAATACCGATATACGTAAATTTATGTGGTTTGTAGAAGGATTTAAATTAGAAACAGTATTCTATTTGTATCAGGAACACTACAGCTTTTGATGTAGATCTTTATTTGAATTCAAACACTAAAACTTCAAAGTTAATTGCTGCATTAGTGTACACATATTCTCTCTCTTTCCTGCCGAAATCTTTCTATGAATACACAAACTAAATGATGACATTACTGTAACTACGTCGCACACAGATGTCACAGTTCTAGTTTGGAATTCAGCCAAATCAATCCTTCCTCTCATCAGAACTCAGTAGCGCATAACAATGACAATAATGATGTCTCGAATGCTTAATCGTGTGAAATAATAAGAAACACCACCAAAAAAAAAAAATCCACAAAATATTAATGCCCGATTTCTATTATCTTTAATTATAAATATATTTTTTTTTTTGCAGATTTAAAAGCAGCATTTTCTATGCTCGATAAGAATCAAGATGGAAGAGTCAACGCTAGCGAAATTAAATCAATGTTAGATAAATTAGGAATCGTTTTGACAGATGCAATGATACAACATCTCATTCAACAAGCGAGTAAACGAGGTAATTATAATATTTATTCATTTTTTTTTTTTCCTTCCTTTCTAACTTCGTAGAACGAACATAATGCCACTTTTCATCATTAACTTTTGCAATATATCAATAAAGAATATTGATACAGCATCCTCGACCACACCTAACAACCACCACCCTTGAATGAATCTTTTGCTTTCCTTACCTCTGACATTTTCAAAATAAAACCACACCCGTTATAACCCGAATTTTTATGATTTTTAGGAGATGGACTGATTGACGAAGAAGAGTTTCTAGCTTGGATGGCAAGACAAACTGTACACGATGACGATGTCATGGAAGATCTCTTGGCCGCATTTCGGGTATTTGACAAAGATAGAAATGGATACATCAGTAGGGTATGAATCACCTTAGAAGTTATTGAACTTCATATAAAAAAAAAAAAAAAAAAACACAATAGAAATTACATTTACTAATATTTATATTCGTGTTCTCTAGACATTTATCAAACTACGAAAATTTATTATTCATTTCTACAGACTTTATGAATAATCATTCACACGGATTCTATAAAATTTGCATTTCACAATGCTCTTACAAAAGCGTGTTAAATAAAAAAAAAAGGAAAGGATTACAAGGATTTTTATATTAGCGGAAGAAATCCTTGTATGGATCAATTGGTATAAAAACTAGATCAAGTTAGGAAAACAACAATTCATTGAACGGGTGCCAATCAATATCTGACTAGGATGTGATGGACACACATTGCTTGTGCCATCTAGTAGAAGTACACCAAACTGTTCTTCATTCTACGAAATTCCTTTTTTATTTTTTCATATAAAAAATTTACTTCTTTAATGGTTTCACTTAAGCCAAGTTGTTAAAGAGAAAAAGAATTCTTGTATTACATTAATCTATATTAAATTGACCATTAATGATACAACTTGCATGATTAAATATAGTAATATGGTTGAATGATTTGCTGTCTGTACTGATTATATATATATATATAATGCACATTATATCATAAATTTTAATGGTATAAAATAATTTAGTTTTCATGTTTTATTGGATTTTTGTGATGGACTTCACCGAATTTTATAGCCACCCCATATAAATCATAAGAGTAAATAAATTCGCGTCGTAAATCTAAAAAGGAAACGGGTTTTTTTTTATTATTGTTATTAGTTAATTGCTCTAATATAATAATTAAATCGTTGTTTTTTTTAGGATGAACTTAAAACGGCGATGGATATGATTGGAGAACCAATGTCAGAAGCGCAGTTAGATGATATGTTAAAAGCGACAGACATCGATAATGACGGACGGATCAATTATGAAGGTTAGTAGCTCTAACCTATTTTAATATACTTCGGTCTACTTCATCTTAAATGTAAATTATCATTATCAAAACATTTTTCAACAATATTGACTTCTGAAGAGCTTGGAAATTCTCTTCAGTTTATATAATAAACTCTTTCCGCACTGTGGGCACTAAGAGGGTCTTTTTTTTAGCAAGCCCATTATGAATTCGGCCAGGCCCACAATGAAGGATGGAGCGACAGATCCCGTCCTATTGTGGACACCCCCAAAAATTATGAGGTTTTTCGACCTGTTAGAATTTGATCCCGGTACCTCAAAGGGTAGGCTGCTAACTTAACCGCGAGGCCATCCATCCATCAAGTTTATATAATACTAACAAATTAATTTCAACAATTATAGTTTGTTTTTATTCGAATCGAATCATTTTTCGTGGAGAATTCGTTAAAAATATGCAATTTTAACAATGTTTTATTTCAGATATTATATATTAGAAACTCGTTTATCTCGTATCCGGATAAAATTACAGTAGTGTTATGAATAAATAGAATGTAATAAAAGTTCTACAGTAAAAGTTATTTGCTGTTCTATGAATCGCTTTTACCTAAATTCGGTGATGACACTTGGGGACTATTTCGGATAACGCAAGGCTCTCGTGGCACATTCGACATTATACGACACGTAAAAAAATTGGATGCTAGCGGGGCCACGTTTAGATCTTTATCATTGGGACGTAAGGGCAGATTTTCCTAACTGATACCAATAGTTTACACAAAATTCCAGTCGAGAAGGATGGATTTCTTTTCCTCATTCTTCTCATCTCTGGTTCTCCTTCTTTAAACTGCTCTCTCTCTCTCAATTCCGGAAAGATATTTTATTGTGGCAACTTTGACATTGGTAGATGAGACACCCTCTCAAACTCCTCCAGCAGCTTTGCTCCTGGTGCTACTCTCTTAGATAAATACATATGGTATGATGTTTGAACGTGCCATCTGAGCCCTCATTGCTCTCGGATACTGAAACTTCGGTATTACGAAGTCATTATGTACAGTCACAATATCATGATATATACTAACATGATTGTTCTCCATTTATAACACTATACTTTTGCATGCTTATACATTTTATTGGGTATAACTTATAACCATAGATTTCAATTTCTTCGCCATACAATTTCCAAGCCTTTAGTGTACCATACATTATTTCACTAATTCTTTTTTTTTACTCTTTTTTTTTTTACAGAATTCGTTCGAATACTCTTATAAATCACTCATAATGTCATCAGGGATTGTTCTGTTGTTGGTGCAAGATAATGTAATATATAACAGAACGGGAGTAGTGTATAAGAAACTGGACTAATACTACTCTCAAACTTGCTTCATCGATTAAACAAATTAATGAATTTTTACACAAGAAGGGCTTCCTTAGGACTCCATTAAATATGCAAAATAAAAATTTCCTTCATAAAAGCTTCATAATATCATAAAGAGCAAAGATATGATCTCTTTTTCTTTTTTTTTTTGTATACATTTTGTTTGATGTTAACTTTTTATTTTGTTTTTTCTGCTCCAGTATTTTTTGCAATGTCAGACTATTCCGTCCATATATTTTTTTTCCCTAATGTTTTAGCGGATAAATCTGTACATAGAGATTAGAACTATTTTAGATTAGTATATTTACCCAATTTATATATCTGATAATGTTACCTGTGATATTTGGAAATTTGGAAGCAGTCTGACGATCTGTGAATTTAAAAAAAATTTTTTTCTTGTATTTTTGTAGCGTGTGATTGATAATAAAATAATAAATCATAAATACTGAATATGGGTGTTTAAAAATAAGTTTACACACTTCACTTTACGGTAGTTTAGAAATAATTTATTTACAAACCAAATAAGACTTTTCTCAAATATTTTAAAACTTAACTTACATTGCACTTGTATATACAATTTATCGTTTATAAAGGTTCACGTTTTACTAGTATTCCATAACTTTTCAAATTCGTTTATATACGCTTTCACTACATTTTCTTCATTGGTAATCAAAACACTTTCGTGATTACCTGTAAGAGCTTTCAATGTCCAATTCAGAGATCCTGTTATTACTGACTCTTCATCAATAATGGCAAATTTGTGATGCATTAGAAAAGGTGAATTGAGTTCCCTGACTGGTATACCTGTAATAAACAAGATATTGGATATAAGAAATGAGTATATATACATCAAAGTTATGAAATGTTACATGATATACACTTAAATTATTTGTTCTGCATAAAGATATAACAAAATTGCATTTGTCATATATAGGATGCACTGCATTGTATAAAACTGCTTTAATACAGATAAATTAGTAAGCCAATGATATAGCCCACTTAATTTGGAGGTTTGCTAATCAGTTGTACTATAGCTACTTTACCAGGCAACGCATCCGTTATTTCACCAAGTAAAAATTAAAATTTACTATTAAATATTAGTATTTTTATTCATAAATTCCATTCTTTTATGATACAGCACTTATTAAAAAAAACAAAATAAGTCTTATAAAGTACAAACAACAACAAGCATCTGTTACATGATACTAATGTTCATGTTTTCTTACAATTAAATTAATATTAAAAATCAAACTGATATGAAGTTTATTCCAGTATCAATTTTTCAAATAATATGCAATACATTTCATTTATAGTATTTATATTTTATATTTTTATTATAATTTATTTATTTATTGATCTAAAAATTTATGCTATTATATCGGAGCGTTAATAAAATTGATCTACTCAAAGATTGATTCTATAAATATTAAAAACAGGCAAAACAGGACAGTCCCCAGAAATCGGGGATGTCTGGTCACCCTAACTTACAGCATAAAATCAATAAATTTCTGGTACATACTAGTACATAGACTTTTAATCCAACAAATTTTATATTGTATTCCAATTAATAATTTTCATTTAATTTACTAAAATTTAATTTATTGTTAATCCTATATCATTCTTAATTAAATACTAAAATATCTAAAGAAACAAAATAACCTTGAATAGTATGTACCCATATATAACATAACAATTAATTTTACGTTAAAAAATAAAAGTTAAGGTCAGCCAACACAGTCAGTGTGTCAAGGTGAGGGTATGATATCTATTGTGTAGTTCTCATTTTAGACAAGGAACAAGGAATATAACATTTATTTATACTGACTTCCTTCTGGGTAAAGAAATAGATCTACCAAAAATATTATTAGATTATTTACACATTCTCTTCCATGAACAATTTATAAAAGTAAACATAAAATAATCAAGTGTACATAAATGTGGAAATACTTTTTGTTTCAAATATAGCAGACAATTTTAGCATACTAAAATTTATAAGATTGTACATTATATAAAGATCACTCTTAAAGCTTGACTAGAAGCTTCACTTTTGCTTTAGATACATCAATGTTTGCTTTTGGACCTTAATATTTTATGATACTTTTACATATTGACGGGACGGAAAACTAGTTATCGTGAAGTGATTAAGATTAGTTTGCTTTCTATTTGAAATTTATACCATTTGTTGAGAAATTATAAAAACCTCATACTTGATTTGTCTCAATTGTCATTTTTTAATGCATAAGTAGAGAACTTAATTCTTATATTTAGTAAAACTGATGAAAATTACAAGAAATTCGTACATATTCGTAAATCTCTGAACTATAAATTTGTATTAAAAACTCTTGAATATAACAATTCAAAGTTTATTAATTTTTATACTTTCATGGCAATAACCCATATTCAGAACTAATTGATTTGAAATATTTTTTAGTTTTGAATATTAAATTATTTAACTTCAAACTTTATAACACTTTTAAAATCATATTTTAACTGATTTTTCAAAGAATTTAAAGTTTGAATTACCATAATTGAAAAACATTTTAAATAAACTTTAAAATAAGAACTCAATATGTCCTTACATAAAAACTTGGCGTTTATTTGAAGTTTACAACACTTTGAAAAGAACAAAGAGGATATATATTACATGTTTCTCTCATTCCTTTTCTGTAAATGGAATGAATAACTTGATAACTGGTAATGGATAAAAATAAGACTGCAAAAATAATTAAAATTTTGAAAAGAAATAATATATTTATAGAGTGATGATATTTACATCATATAACTCATCTGGCACAACTTCAGAAAAAAAAAAGGGCTTCTGTCAAAATTAGAATGCATCAGAAAATGAATAATAATCACTCTTATATGTATCTGGCATTGCTTTACAATTTCACAATTGAATATTTTGTCATGTCTTTATTAAAGTTAGAAATTGATTAAACTTTAAACTTTTGCTTGAGGTGAAAAGATTGTATTTTAAAATTTAAAATAAAAAATATAAAAAAAGTTCTCAAATAAAATATAAAAACTTTTTCGCTTAAATAATTTGTCTTATTTATTAGTTGTTAATGTATCAAATGAAAATTTAACATATTGGATTTTTTGCAAGTATCAGAAATGAGTTCATAAAAGAGAATTTATAGCTATCGATAGCCAATTATAAAGATGTTAATTATATTACAGTTATCCATCAGAATACTATTAATTCCTAGTTATTAACAAATAAATTTGGCAAGCAATCATATATACATATGCATAAAAAGGTTATAATACATCATTCACTATTACCATTCCTGTGCCACCTACAACTACAGTCACATTGCCAACCCTACATGCTTTACAATAACAATGTATATGATTATAAAATAATCCATTCTTTCTTTGATTTTATATCTGTAACACAGTATTTAAAACCACAAAAATCAAAACAAAAAATAAAAAATACTAGTAATCTCCCTAAATTATCAGGGATAGATTATAGCAGGAGTCATCAAACTTTTTTCACAGACAGTCACATAATTGAGGAAATGACCAAGCGCAGGCCACATAATCATTTCATTCAATACAGTTTAATTAATGAATACACAAAAAATAAAGACAACTGACATATTTATGTAATGCTTTTGTTAGAAACTTCATTGCAGGTACTTACACAAAAAGCGCTGATATCCAAAGTTGTAAAAAGTCGCTGAATTTTTTATTTCATCGATTTTCCTAAAAATTATATTACTGTTAGATGCAAAAATCAGATTGGACCAATTTCGGTATTTTTACTGGGACACTTATTTTAATTTTTTCTACATAGTAAGTTTATCTACAATCTATGATATTTCCATATAAATAATTATATTTTAGCTCATTTGTGGCACAGTGCGGCAGTGAGCCGAATAAACTGACCTCCAACACTGTGCCACGAGAGAGCTAAACTATGGCCCACGGGCTGTAGTTTGGTGACTCCTCAACTATAGGATAACATAAGCAAACATTTATCTTTTTAACTGAGTTTAAATGAAAGTAATTGTTTTCAAATACACTGATAACACTGTTCTGCAAAAAAAACCTTTTTTTCTATTTCTGAAAAAATACATTGTGTTCCTAGTTGTACTTCGAGCACTGAATTCAAACCTGTTTTTAGTTTTTTTCTGTCAGGGATAGTTTATGAGTAATCACAATTTTATTTTTTCTTTATGTTTCTGATATAGTGCAGGACACATTAGCTGAAATTCAAGAAAAAAATCAGCTTTTTTATGATGTTATTAAGTTCATCATATTAAGGGAGGTTGGGATCTAACATATAACATATACATCTTAGTGTATTCGCTTTGTAGCATTTATTTCACATGAGCAATTACAGAAAATTGACAAAAATGAGCCACCATATAGTAATGCACATCACTTTTTCTCTTGTATTGAGAATCTTTCTTCTCTCAAATGATATTTCAGCAATAATCTGCTAACATAGAAGGTACCCACTTCTCTTCATAACCCTTTCTATAGTAGAAATGTCTTTATGGAATCTTTTGCCATGTTCATCCGATACGTCACTACAACTCTCTGTGAAGTATTTCAGATGAGTCTATCATATGTACCTTCAGAGACATATTGCACCCCAGATCTTGGTGTGCTTTGATCATGTCATTCACCATTGCTTTGTAGTTGGTAGCTCTTCTTCCGAGGAAGTTTTCTGATACCACCTTGAAACACTCCCATGCTCTTTTCTTTGGCAGTTAAACATGCTTCAAAATTTGCATCTTTCTGCAACTCCTTGATTTGCAGGCCCATACATACACCTTCCTCTATTTTTGCAGCTGAAAGATGGGGAATTTGTCAGCTAGATATGCAAATCCACTGCCTGTTGGATCCATGGTCTTTACGAATTGTTTTATTAGGCCAAGTTTGATGTGAAGCGGTGGAAGTAGTATATCTTCAGGAGCTACCAGACTTTCATGTTGCACATTTTTTTCGTCCACTTTCCACCTCCACTTAGGCCATTTTTACATTTAGTTAGAATTTCTGTCATGACTAACCCACTCGCAAAGAAAACATGCATACTTCGTGTAGCCTTGTTGCATTCCCAATGTCATAGCAATCACTTTGAAGTCTCCACATATTTTCCATTTGTATTCATTGTATTGTAATGAATTTATCATCCTTCATAAGAATTTGTAATTCTCTTTAGTCAAGCTGGCATAAGCAACTGGAACAGAGGGCATTTTATTTCCATTGTGGAGAAAAATACCCTTGAGACTTATTTTCAATGCATCTATGAAAAGTCTCCACTCCTGTGAACTGTAGGTATAGTTCAGCACCTTCATTAGGCCATCAACATCATTGTCACGTTCGATTATTACTGCATGCAGCAACATACACATATTTCTCTATAACGTCTGTGTTTGCCATGAACTGTGAATATATACATATATATACACGTTACACAAAAAGTATCCCTGACAACAAAATTCTGTTTCCAGATTTGAATTTCCCATGATAAATTGGTTTAGAATCACACATTTTAATATCAGAAATAGAACCCTTGTCAAACAGTGTAATTAATCTTAATATAGTCATCAATGTGCTATATCTACTTTTTAGACAAAGAAAACAAACTAATTACAGGAAGTCACGAATAAAACTGAAAGAGGCTAATGAATTTGGCTAATAAGTCATGCATTGCTGACACACATCATCATTCAATTTCTGTTTCTATGGCATTGGCATTTGGTTGGATCTTCAAATTTTTTAATTCCAGATGCGTGAAATATAGTATATTAACTAAAAATGCTAACATCTTTAGCTTTATCCTAGATTTCGCATGAGTTTGTTTCCTTTGGTTATTTTTTTGTGAAGTGAATAGTAATATCTGATCAAAACTATTTTTCAAAGCTGAAATATTTTATTCATATGTTCTATTAGATGACTTTGAAGGTTGTAAATTTTACTGATAACAATTACAGTAGACCCCCCTATAACACGGTAGATACGTTCCACTTTTTATGAAATTCATATTCTACGAGTCCTTCAATACATGAGCCAATCAAAGCCCGGCACGTGTGCGGACTACAACTGTTGAAAGGTTTTCTTCCATAAAATTAATTGATTCTAGACTAATTTGACTCAACATTTCCAAAACACAATTTTTTGGGAATAATCCATATAAACTATGCTATAAACAAAAAATTGTAGGCTTACTTACCGCATGTGCACCGTTTGACAACGCCATTGCTTAAGCTTGTTTTCGTCATGGAGCAGTGCATCAAATGGCAGGCACATGTTTCCTGATAAATTATTTTTCTTTGAAAAATTTGCTGAACTTTCGAGACATCATTAATATAAATATAATTTTTATGGCAGTTAAATAATAAATGGTTTTTAGTAGGTCCGCTGCTCGTTTAAACTCAACGGTTTGTGCAATATCCGCTATTGGTCTAGATTTGACCAATCCCGTTGCGACACGAGTCGGTGATGACGTTTTATTGTATCATGAGTCTCTTTTAGTGTATTTATATGAATACAATCGCAATNTGGTTTTTAGTAGGTCCGCTGCTCGTTTAAACTCAACGGTTTGTGCAATATCCGCTATTGGTCTAGATTTGACCAATCCCGTTGCGACACGAGTCGGTGATGACGTTTTATTGTATCATGAGTCTCTTTTAGTGTATTTATATGAATACAATCGCAATTTTTTCACCGTAATATACAAATCTTTATTATATGAACCCGTTTTATAGGGGGTCTGTATTAGATAACTGTATTAGATAACTTTTTGTAAAATATATCAAATAAATGATATTAATAAAAAGTTGGGACAACAATTATATTTTTTTTTAAATTCACAAATGAATATATCACTGTTATGTTATAAGTAAGTCTATACAGACTACACAATAAATGAAAACATTAAGTAAAGCATACATAATGAATATTACTGGAAAGAAAACAAGAAAAATATGTAAACAACTGAACTTGTTGAATCTACTGTATTTGGTTTTTGACAAGATTCAGCAAGTTCTTGGAAATATCTGAGATAAGGACAGGTACGAAAAAGACTACAATAAGCTTCGATTGAAAGAATTAAGAAGTGGACCAAATCAGCTGCAGATATCTAACAAAAAAAATGCAAGATCAAACTGTGATATATAAGTTACCAATTTACTGTCAGTTAGAATACCACAAAAGTCCAAACTGAACAATTCAGAAGGAAAACAAGATTTAGGCTTTAGCAAAAAATTATAGATAAATATAACTTATTTATTTATACTATATAAACAATTCCAATAATCCAATTACTTTAATTAAAACCAGACGTTCTGCCGAAATATTGGACTAGATAATTCAGCAGATCATTTGGTTTTTATTCATACCTGTTTTCGTTTAAATATATTGCCAAAATAAAAAGGTAAAACATAAAAATAAATGAGAAAGTTCTAAAAAAATGCAATTCTGAACCTTTCTCTATACTTCCAATTTACATTTAAGTACACTATGGAATCTGTCATACTGTGTTGATAGGATCAAACAAAATTTAATTTATAAACATTTATTTTAATATAAATATATATTAAAATCTGAGAAATTTAACTTTCTTCAAGAAATGAAATTTATCCTTTTGTGATTATTTTATATTTTACTACCATTGATTATGTTTGATATTTAAGCTGTAAATTTCTTACTTAATTTCTCAAGAAACATTACTAAGAATTACCGCATACATATTTATGTATAGATCTACCTCCTATTCAGGATCCACCAACTATTAATACATGCAGATAATTGGTCAAGGCTCATTATTGCTTGCCATGACAAACACAGAAATGAAGATTAGGAGATATACTGAGCATGAAGATTAGGAAATATACTGGTTCGAACTAAGTGAATGTCTTGCAAAGATCACATGTACAACTATGATCCATTAACTTTTTTTCTTGTACAGGGGATCTAAGACTAGGGGCAAATCCCTCATTCAGAGTTTACATCTTACCAAAGTTTTAATTTCAAGTATTAGCATTTCTTATATGTACCGGTACGTAATGAGTATTCTAATACATACATATTCTTATATTTTCTTATGAGAAAATTTTTTTGAATAATGGATATTTTCTTGAGTGTGTGGGAAATCCATTGTTTGCAATATAATGGATTCTCAGAACAACAGATAATTTTCGGTGGCTCCAGTGATCTGTTAAAAGAGATTCTACGATATCTGGAAAGTTATTCCCCTCATCAAACACACATCATTTCTCCCATCCCGTAAAATCTCTGAAGTTTTTGTAGAATCAGGCATTTTTTGGTCATTCACAAACAAAACACTTTTAAAAAAAAACCTTGCAAGTCAAATTCTGGTCAGGCACAGATCAACAGAGAGCCAGTAATTGTATATTTTGGCATTTACTTGTTAAATCATTCAGCTTTCCCACTCTACATTTATAGATAGTATTAGTACAGTATAGTATTAATACCAAAAGATGTAATAAAAACTAATTAATTGAAAATATGCGCGATAAACAAATAGTATAGTCATTAATCATGATTGATTGTGTATTCTAAGTACTATTAGCATGCATAATTATCATTTTAATAACATTCTCACCCTTTTTACTAAACATTCCTGTTTGTACGTAAACCAAATCCCTCCCTTCGCCCGTATTATCATCAGTAAAAACTCTTACTTTCACTCCTTTAGCGTGACATTTTAGAATAACATCAACCAAACAGTGACTAGTAATTATATACACACAAATGTCTATACTTCTCTTAGCCGAAAGCAAATGAACAGCGAGTGAACCTAATGAAGTTAAATTGTTACTCGTGACAATTCCTCCATAATCGAATACATTTCTATAGTCGAGTTCGGTATCGGGAAAGAAAAGAACTTTTGTATAAACATCTTTCTTCTTCTTATATGGAATTAGTTTATAAGCATAAGAAGCTGTTTTCCAACCTGTAACACAAACTAATATAATAACTAAAATCTTTTTCCACATTATTAAAATTACTCCTTTCTTTGCTTTAAAACTTCATCTAAAACTTCATCTAAAACCACGTGTAAAAACCACGTGTAAAAACCACGTGTATTTGAATTAGCACGCTTTATAATGCCAAATTGGCATTAATGAGTAGTCATATTTATCGCCAGAATATAGCCAAATGTTTTAAATTTTGGAGATATTTATTTTAAGGAATTTTTATTAAAATTTTGCAAATCTTCTTATAAATTATTTTTATTTTGCGCTGAAATCCTGAAAATAGTTATTTAAAAGATTTTCAAAATTTTGACAGCTGAAAATGGATCTTAAATGAAAGCCTGGACATGCCGGTTTATTATTATTTCTATTTTGTATCTGTATAATGCCCCTAAAAATAAAACCAGGGATCTAAAAGTGCTTAAAATGTTACATCAAACTCACGCCGTAATAAATCGGGCTATTTTATGTCACAATTAATAATTTGAAATTAAATTCCCTCTGTCGTTGTTGTCTATTTGTTGTTTCTTATTCTCAAAAACGGTGTTAGATAGATAAATGTGAAGACCGCAAGTCACATTATCTTAATTTTCTTATGAACGGAGTTAGATACAGAACCGGCATGACTTCATTGTTAACAGGAAAAGCGTGATGTAGAAGAGAAACACACCGCTATACTTCAGTGCATTATGAGAGAAAATTCATTCCGACGATAGCACAATAAACAATTGCTTGTATATAATATTATATTGAAGTTGTAGGCATTTTTATGCATGAAATACGGCTAAAAAGATGAAAAAAGGTTTTGTTTTGAAGGTCGGGAACGGATTAAGCAGGAAAGTTCACCCCTAAATGAACATATTGAAGAAAACTGTTGTGATATCGATAAACAGAACATTAATTAAGCTCTAATTTAATTAATAGATTTAATACAAATCTGTAAAGCGTTATACAAATCTCACTAAGTAAGATATTTTGCCACAAGTTAGTTTCTATGCAACACACAGAGATTCCAAAGACTTTTTCTTTACGAAAAGTTGAAAAATCTCCTCAACTGCCTACCGTAGCAGGTGCACCATCTGTGGCTACTGCTGTTATATTATTAATTGGAATGTCGTATTTATTCAAATATTCTTCTAAATTCCGATATATTGTCGGACCTTTTCCATTACATTCGAGATATTTAGCAAATAAATATTCGTCAATGATTTTTACATTTTACTAAAATATCTGACGTAAGCCATAAGAAGAGAAGAAACATCAATAACAGACTCACCAAATTGAATAGAAAATTTGCAATTTTTGAGCTCTGAAACTACTATATTTTAGACGTTTTCAGCCGTTTCGTCAATACGCCGTTTTACTGAATTTGCACTTAATGGTAAGCACTTTAAAACATCAACCCATCTTTTTTTTTTTTTTTTAATGCATTTTCAAAAGGATTCAACGCCTGCGCTCGAGTCTGACTCGAGCAAACGAAATTCGTTTTTAAAAAAATGATTATTTCGCTTTTTATGCTAGTATTTTTATGGAATAAAATTTGCTTATCTTCTTTAAACCTTTGTCTATAATTTCTGCGAGTTAAGACAGCCGGATGGCCGAGCGGTCAAGATGGTAGTTTATCACTTCTACGGACATTGGTTCAATTCCCGACGGGTCGATAAATTTGATGGATTGTGGGCCTGGCCGAATCCATAATGGACTTGCCAGAATGAGTTTTTAAAAAAAAAGACCTCTGCAAGTTTTTTTAGTTGTAAACCAATTAAAAGATTTTGTATGGAACAGTTATGGTAAATTGGTCTTCCCCATTGATAGATAGTACTAATAACCAAAAATGTTTTGTTCTAATTGGTTTATTCTACGAACTAGTGCACGTCCTGCAAGAATCCCGACCTCCCTCGAAGTCTACACGTAGACATCCTGAGAACATTGACTGGATAGTTGCTATAAGGGTCAAATAGCGCTTAAAAACATCTATAGAGGTGTTAGCTAATAACGTCAGCATACTGCGAATCAGATACAATCTTACCAATGCTGCTAATGCTTGATATGTACTGTACAGTACTGTACTATATAAGAACCAGAGCACGGACTGGGCAATTTCTGTCAGTCCTGTGAGATTTAATCCGTTGATGGGTAGCTGTACTATTAAATTTATTAAAACAATATTCAAAAGACATAATAATACGTATAGTTATTTTTAGTTTCAATTTTTCCATCGAATTCCTAGCCGCATTGAACCCGCAATAATGTTATATCGACCCCTGGGTGTCGATATCGACCACGTTGGCAATCTCTGCTTTATGCAAATAAAACTTTTTAGATTTTTAATTTTATTGGAAAATAAGTTATATATTTTGTGCATTATATCTATAAACATAACAATGTATTAGTGAAAATTCAATTATTTTAATTATAAATTTTACAAGTGTATGTAAGTTTTATGGTTGCTCAAGTTTTTCGTTTCTCTCTTCAACCTTCTCCTTTTTCTTTTTCACAGCCGTATACATCTAAGACGGAATATATTTTTTTTAATATAAATAGAATATTTTAATTAATAATTAAATTAATTGTGCTAAATATTACTCTTTTTAAACAGTCTTTAGGGAAAAAATCCTTAAAAACTTTAACCGTTCCGGTCGAATCGGCTGGATATTTACAATGTATAAATCCAATCAAATTAATAATATTCAATGTCAAGGCGATACACACCACAACCTGAAAGTTAACTTTTAATTATTTATTCTAAATACATAAAATTATCATTAAAAAAACATTTTTTTTATTATTTTAATATATAATAACGGTTGCTTACAAACCAATTGGCGTTAAGTTGGAAAATGGTGGCGTAAAACATGACAAGCCATATCACAGGATTTATAATTAAAATTGACCAAAATATTAAATTTTCAGCATAATCAATGATCTCTTCCGTATTCTGAAACATTTTAAAATGAATTTATTAACTACAGTTGACCCCCCATAACACTGTTGATAATTCCGTGTTATATGAATTCCATGTTGTACGAGTCGCTTAGATTTTACAAATACGTGAACCGTTCACAACCCGGCACACGTATTTGTAAAATCTAAGCGACTCGTACAACATGGAATTCATATAACGCGGAAATATCAACAGTGTTATAGGGAGAGGGTCAACTGTATTATATGTTAACTCGAACGATAAAATATGAGATTTAAATACTTTTTTAGATTGGAAGTACCAGTGAGTGATTCCATTGTCGTCTACGTAATATCCCCATTTGCATGAAATAAGAATTGGTCCTAGTATGTTCTTTACTGCATAAAAATCTATGCACAACAGCAGAATTATTGTAATGACGGGTATTGTAAAATCGATATAAAACCAACCCGAGAAGAAATACACGACCAAAGCAGCTAGTTTAAAAACTATGTAGAAAAACATGGCCACAGGATGTCTAAAAATATCATCTAATAATGAAAAAGTATGGATATTTATATATTATAAATATATGATTAAACGTAGTCTTACAATTCGGTTTTGTTTACTTCGGCACCATTCTAAAAATATAATTTGTTATATAAAAGTAAAAGTAAGTTAATCAGAAAACAAAAAAATTAAGATTACAAACCATATCCAGTTCTTTTACTATTGAATTTCACATTAAAAATTTAGAACTTTTTTTCTGATTTAAATTTAAGAATTTCGAACAGTTTTCGGTAAGCTTCTCTTTCGTTTTCGTCCAATCAGCAGATTACCATTTTCTATATAAAATTCCAATTCAATTTAATGTATATTTTCATTTTGGATGGATGACTGCTGTAGTAAAATAGAATTACCATAAATTCTGCATGAATATGGTAACCATAACAAAGACATAACCTATTAATCGGTTTCGATTTATTTCTACTTAAAAAGTACAGTAGAGCGTCGTTTATCCGAAAGTCGGTTATACGAAACGTCGGTTATCCGAAAGAATTCCAGTCGACAAATTTAAATTTTCGCTAGTTCTGTGGCGCTGCAATCTTTGGCTATATCCAATGGCTACTCCAATATTTTTTATGTTGGTGTATGTATTTTAGCTGGCAGCACTGTCACTTTTGTGTAGTGTTTTTCTGAGGACTGGGTCATGCTGAATCGAACGTTGTTGATACTAGATAACTTCTAAAGTATAAATTTTTTTTGTTTTTATATTTTTCAATATATTTATTTTGTTCGTAAAAAATAAAGAAATAATTTTTAACGATACAATAGCCACGATTATTATTTTAAAAAGTTTTACATTAGGCTTAACATCGACGAAAATTCAACGCGAAGCGACACGCAACGGAGAAAAATTTCAATACGGGATAGGTTAATGTATTTTTTCGTACATAATCGGTTATCCGAACAACCCCAGTTCCCAATTGATTCGGATAAACGACGCTCTACTGTAGTTAAATAATTAAGAGATTAGGGAATTAGGGACGTGAATAAAACCCTACTGAAAGAGCCGGAATATTAATTAAGATTAATGAAGTCTACGGTTTTTACTGGCTTATCGAACAAACGAATACGAATGGATCCTAGACCGTCACTGACGCTCAATTAACTGATTGCCCCTGGAAGTCGGCTTCTTACAAAAACACAGCTTCCTTATCATCAAATGTCACGGCAAGCCACTGCCAAAGACCCGAAAAGTACTTAAAATCGCTCGAACGTATGCTTCTTCTTAGTACACTAAAGTGGCCATATCTTGAAATGTTAAAAAGAGCTTCAGCACTAGATGCTCAGGTGACTGCGGCATCATCCCAAAAACATAGCCATAATATCGGCTCGGCTATCCGGCCGTCTCCCATAATGGCTTAGCGAGAAGGCTAAGCTAGGCTTAAGCACACTGCCAAAAGCCTTGACAAAAAGCATTAATTTTCCATTAACGTACATTTTCAATTGCTGTCCACTTGACCATTGAATTTGTGCCATTTCGTATCATTCGAGCCACAATGGTAGGCTGAAATAACCAAACTCTTTATATGGTTTTCGTTTTAATGTTTGCTATATTACAGTATTTGATTTATATAACGTAAGAATTAATCACACAGAGTGATCAATATAACACATTTTAAAATTTTTTTATTCTTCTACAGTACATTACAATTTATAGAATTTTTAAAATGTGACACTCGATGTGATAACCTCTTTACTTATATAAATCAAATACTATAATATAATATAAAGGTTAGAAGTACGATATGACCTTACCGTTTTCTTTTATTAGTCTATTTGTTTCGTCTTGTCACCTTGAAGTATATCTAAATTATTATTACTAAATTATTATTAAACAAATAATAATAATAATAATGGAAAAAGGGGAAAAAATAAAAGTAATTGAAGAATTAATTAATGAATGAAATTACAAAAGACTTAACAAAGATCCAGTGAATCAACTAATAAAATCCTTAGATATTGAATTAAAAAGTTTAAAAAGTAAATTATATATAACAGAAGAAGACATTAAACATATAAAAAGAGAAGATAATAGGACACCAAAATTCAATATAAAGGTAAAAAACACATAACAATCCAGTTAAATATAGACCTTTAATAGACGTTAAAAATTATATATATTATAACTTAGAAAAATTTTTAAAAGATAAATTTATTACAGGTATCTAAATATAGTATTAAAATGTGGATGATTTGTTAAAAAGTTTACAAAATATTACAATTGATAAATATAAGAATTTAATATCACTTGACATAGTTAATATGTATCCGAGTATTACAATAGAAGATATAGAAAATTCATTAGTGAGAATAAATACACCAAATTGGATAATTAAATTATGTTTAATTATAATAAAAAAAAACAATTACTTTCAGTTTGGAAATAATTTCTACACCCAGAAGGATGGAATACTTATGGGTACTTGCATAGGTCCAAAACTGGCATAAATAACAATGATACAAATAGATGAACAAATTAGAAATATAGAAGGCATAGAATTTTATAACAGGTATGTTGATGATTGTATTATAATATTTGATAAAAGAAAGACAGATGAAAAAACAATTATAAATAAAGCTAATGAGATAAAAGAAAATATTAAATTTGAATTAGAAAAAGAAAAACAAAACAGCATTAATTATTTAGATATAACAATTATAAGAAAAGAAGATAAATTAATTTATAAAAAATATGTAAAACCTATGCAGATTCCAAAAACAATTAATTATAAATCAATTATACCTATTAATATAAAATATAATATATTTAAAATGTATATAAGTAAAATAAGACAACGAACAACAGAGGTAGAAACACAGGAAAAAGAAGAAGATGATATTATCAAAATGTTTATTTTAAATGATTATCCAAAAACAGTGTTAAATAAATGGGTTAATGAAACAATTATTGGTTTTAATACAGGAATGTTTTAAAATTGATATTAATTGTAATTGGAATGAACTATTGGAGAAAAAGTAGAATAGAAAGAAAAAATATAAAAATAGTATGAATTTTATAAGTTATTACTGTAGGCATAAATTTTTTTTTTTTTTTTAATATTGTCGGTAAATTATGTTTGTTTATTGTTTGAATTTTATTTATTTAGAATTTGTTTGTTAATTAAATATCTGCTGAAGAGGGACAAACAAGTCCGAAACGCAATTTGTATGTGTACAGGTAAATGTAAATAAAACAATTTTAATCTGTGTGACTGTGTTGCTGTAATCTTATACGCCAGTGTGATAAGTCTTATTAATAGAAATACACTGTTATGGTGATTGAAAGAATAATTTGTTTAAATTAAGAACATTAATGCATGTCCTCTTCCAGTCCTTCCTCGCGTGCCTGTCTCTGCACCGACCATTCCGAAACTTCTGGATATCTCTGTTCCAGGTAATCGATGACAGACGAGGTGCTCTCATCGGGAATGATGACAATCACCCGTTTCTTGTCGGGCTCACCAGATTTCTCCTTCGCACCCTCCGCCACTTCTTTCGGACGCACGCGAATCACTCGAATCGAAGAGGAAGACGATCCTGATGTCGAGGAGCTACTCTCTCCTCCAGAGGTATTCCAATTCTTCAACGCTTTGAAATTATCCATTCTGCAAGCGAAAAACAAACGAATATTAAATATTGTAGAAATTAAGACAATATTAAAAAATGAAATGAAAATTTAATAACATAAATACGATAGAAAATGGTCGTTTTAAGTATAAGAAAAATTCTAATCGCAAATGAATATAAAGTTGTAATGGAATAATAAACGAAAATTATTTATTCAATTATTATGTATTAAATATATTATAGTAATAACAGTTATATGGTATATAAAAGTTTCGTTTATTGTCATTCTAGAAGAAATTAATGACGAATAAACTCATTTACTCTAATTCGTTAAAGATCAGATTAATTATAATAACGTCATATGGGATGTAATGTGTACGAATATGTAATATACACACACAAAATTATAACGGGAAACGACAGAATTTATTATTCGAGTTTGCTTTAACGAAAATTAACAATGAAAAGATTGAATGCACTTTTCCAAAATAAGTCAAAGGTTCGATTCTTCTCTTTGAAGAAACCACACAAAGGTTGTTATCGAAATATTCGTTATCGCTGCTAACTGTGATTTAGTATCTAACAATGTTAAAAAAATACCTAAATCTAGAAAGATCAGGGACTAAACTTACCCAAAATAAAGGCAAAAACTGCAGCAAAATTCCGAAAATACTCGAAACAATCGCATTCGAGCAAAGCAACAGACAATTGTCGGAATTCTATTGTTGCGTCGCGACTCAGTTTAATGCTAAAAAATTCGATTTCTGAGTCTGTCTTTCTATAGAAACGGACCATTCTGCTTTTTGTCTGTAGTCTTTCACTGACGCCCACGGAGACATTTTGTTAGACGCTCATAAACTAATTCGATTCCACTTAAATTGAGCAATGGTAGAATCTTCCGGAACTGTTGTTGGGCTGCAATTTGAATCCATTGTAGATTTATAAATGCCCACTTCCTCAATCTCGAGAACGCAGTTAGGTAGATGAAAGTCGAGATCAGATATGAAAAGATTACGAGTACAGTATATATGAACTTCCGATGCAAGGTGGAAGTCACCTTATTTCCATTCAAAACATTTCCCCCGAAAGGAGTTAAATAGATGACAGGAAAAGTATGATGTACGGGGGTGAACACTACAGTAGTAATTTCAGGTGGACAGCATATATTTTAAATCAAAAATATGATTAAAAATTGCCGCCCGGCATTGTGTCCATATCACAATAAATAATTGCTCGTTAGTTTTTTAATTGCAACTTTAAAAATTTTGAAAATAAATGGCTTAGAAATAAATAATATCGTTTTCTTCGTTTCTGGGCGGGTGATTTAAATATTTTGTCCACAAGAACTTACGATATTTAACACGAACAGAAGTTACAGGTTTTTGGTGTTTTTGCTTAACACGACAAACACGCAAATTTTAATTAAAATCACGAAACATCATCAGCATTAAAATCTAATAACTTTCCAAGATTAACATTACCGCGATTTAATAAAAATACATAATAGACACTTAAAATGTCTTCACTTGTCAAGACTTTTCATTAAATTGTAAATTCGTCAGCCCTTTCTTTCATAAGACTTATTCGATTTGTACATGAAAAACGGTAAAGTATAAAATGTTTTTTCTATTCTTCCGGCGACTAGGCTATATATTTATTGGTCAAAAGTACTTGGCTATTGTAACTCGATTACACGATAAATATCACAATGAACATTTTTGATTGAGTGCAATACGGTTGGACATACACGCACTGTTTGCTATAGTGCGGCAGACTTTTCTATACGTTCTAAGGCGTAATAATTGCATAGGGCACGCACGAACTTCGACGACAGAAAAAACAAGAGGTCTCACCGAGATTCGAACTCGGATCACTGGATTCAAAGTCCAGAGTGCTTACCGTTACACCACGAGATGAGCCGCGGAACACGGGTGCTCCGTGAAGCCACTTCAAGTGTTCCGTGAAAAAATCAAATATACAATTAGAAATGATTGCAAAAGAAAAATCAATACAATGTCAAATAATTTTTGTATAGGAATGTAATCAGCAAATGCCAATGACATCATATATTATTCTAGACCGAGTGCGCTCATGATTTCAAAAAGGTTTGCCATCCTTGCTTTAAAGCTAATGTATTTTAAGTGTTCCGCGGGGAAAATGTCAAAGTTTAGTGTTCCCTGACTTTAAAAAGATTGAGAACCATGAACCTAGGCTAACATGACAAGACAACAACAAAAATTGATTGACTGAAGCTTGAGAAAAGCTTACAACTATGAAGTAGAACAGTCTATCAACCAGTAGCGTGGCGTCATTAGAAGCGGTGGAAGCGCCGCTTCCCTTGTATTTTATAAAAAATAAATACATATTAATTTTAATTATATGAAAATAATCGCACAATATTTTATTATAGCCGCATTGTGTATCTTATTACAAATTTTTATACTACACGTGAAAAAAAAATAAAATTGCTATTTATATTCGAATATATGTGGCGGAGTGGAATCTCTGTATTGTCAGATTCCAAAAAGCCAGATTTGCGCATGCGCTTTACAGAGCACCAACCTCGCCCGGTTTAGCCGGTGGAAGCCTACGACCATGAGTTGATGCTTACACATATAAAGATTCCAATTCTATCAAGGACCGGTTCTGGACTGTTAGCCGCCCGCCCGCTAGATATTTGGCCAATTACGTGAATAACGAGTAGATTTATAACTTAACCCAACCGATAAGAATTTACTGTTATGTTTTTACGATAGTTCTGAATAGTTGAAAGAAGTTTAAAAAATCCATTAAAATATTTGATATATTTATTCCGCTTTCCGATTTTATATTAATCACAGATTTCAATTTTAAACCGGTGATATTACGATTTCGTATATCCCATCTTTAAGGGGATGTAGAAAAAAACGTGTACAATTCTCGTATAATGTTAAAAAATTAACCGTTACTTTGATAGCATCATTTACAACTAAATTTAATGAATGAGAGAGATGCACCAGGTACAGAAAAAGCTCTAGAATTTATTTTCCTTAAATTTACGATTTATGTATCCGTTTGTCATAAAAATTTGTCTTTCCACTTTTTCCCGAGACTACAAATATTCGAGTACAAAATAACCGGTTTCGACTTATTTCTACTTAAGAAGTAATTAAATAATTAAGCGATTAAGGAATTAGGGACGTAAACAAAACCCTGACGAATGAGCCGGAATATTACTTAAACAAAAGCTTAACCGAACCAATCTATAGCCGAGTACAGTGGGACTGATTTCTTCGAAATATTGTATTAGATGTAATAAAGACAGAAATTTTTTCAGTTCGACGAGAGTGACCGAAAAGTTGTAAATTTTGGAAATTTCCATGGGCAACACCCGGTCCTAAAACGAATTAGTTAGAAAACAAACGATGGACAATCTATGAAGTTTAACATATTTGGACTTTTACAGCTATGGTGAGAAACGTTTAAAATCTACAACAGCCAGGTCGCGTCCTTTGAGATATACTAATGATGCGACAAAACAGGTATTTGACATTGACCGGTATCGGCACCCTGGGGATTTGGCAGTCCGCATGTATGCACGCTCCGCAACCGTCTTCGATTCCATCCATTAGCCACTCGTAGGGAACTATTTGACTAAGTGCATTGTTTTAAGATTTAAAAAATAAAGAATATTTTATGTTATTTTTATGTACGTTTCTTTGCAAAGCTATATTTAATTATAATTTTCTTTAAAAGTATATTCATATAATTGAAGAATATTTTGTATGTACCAGTACATCCACCACATATTTTATTTCACCGAGTAAGTTTTTATTATTTTATTTTTAATTGTAGCCCTTATATCGTGGCTAGCGATTCGGAACGTAATTGTGATATGAAAAATACATTTAGAGAAGTCTACGGTTTTTACCGGCTTATCGAATAAACGATACGAATGGACCCCAGACCGTCACTGACGCGCAATTGACTGATTGTCCCTGGATGTCGGCTTCTTACAGAAACACAGCTTCCCTATCATCAAATGTCACGGCACGCCCCTGCTATCAACTCTTTATTTTTAACTCTTTTTGTCATGTAGGCACTAAGAGGGTCTCTTTTTTGCAAGCCCATTATGGGTACAGCCAGGCCCACAATGGGGCGGCCGGGTGGTGAGGGTCTAGTCCCTCAGGCCCAACATATCCGGACGGACCACATCCCCGAAAAATTTCTGGGGATTTTGTCTGGATCCGATCCCGGATCCCCCAGAGCGGTAGGCTACCACCTTGACCGCTCGGCTATTCGGCCTCGACGGTCTATCAACTGCAATCCTCCGCCATGTAAATGAATGAATGAATTTAATAAAAAAACAAAAATTATAATTTTATATAACCATTAAACCAAAACTATAAATTATTCATACTTTAAACAGTTTTGCAAAAATTAATAAGAATCGTTTCCAAAATAAAAAATAAAACCATAACCGGGTTTGATTCAGCTACACATTTTATTTCTTATTTTTATTCTCTATATAATATTCAAACTAAAATTATTTCGCAATGGTTTAAACCAAACTTCCTCTTTTTCTTCCCCGTAATTTTACAGTAAATACGACAATACGACGACATTTTACCGTCACGAAAAAAAACCGCCGGTAGAGGGATGCGGCCATTCGTCTTGATGGGAAGCGATAACAAGTTATGAGTTAGATATTATCATTATCTTCCTAATTTTCGAGTCAATGGATGAAGAAGATTCTTTAGAATTACTCTTAGGTAAGTTTATTACACTTTTAAGATAAGTTTTATAAAGTTGAAAAGCTTTTTAAGTCGAAAACCGTCGATATTACTTCAGGTGCGATGCGGATTATTAATTAACATGCAGGAGTCGAATCACATGATAAATAACCTTACAAAAATGCACTTTTGTATTAAGTTTGACACACATTTATGTAATAAAACGTCGATTTTATAATTATGTTCGGCTATTCCCTTCTATAACCTTGAAATATCTTTAATCTATTGGGAAAGACAGTAATAAAAGCTGTGTAATTATATTTTTAAGGAATTAATGAGAGAAAATTGAGTGTATTCTCTTGCCTAGCTTCAATACATTGATCAGTTTCATTTCAAACTTTACTGCAGATACATGTTTGTTGACATAAGCATTAATATGTATTACTGTACTTATAAATTATGTATGAAGAAAGCAGATTACTTAAATAAGTTATTTTTGACTAATCTGAGCTGATTTTAAAAGGAAAATATCTACTTTCATTTTTTGATAGGTGCGTACGATGACTTAGAATTTTTTTTTTTTTTTTACATTACGTTCAATGTTAACATGATTTTATCTATTTTCTTTGAGTCATATGATTATTTCGTCACATGTGATCCAATTTAAAATGATTAGACATTCTTAAAGGTTAGAAAATCAAAATTAAATCTGTGTAATCAAATTATAAAATGTTAATTCTGATTTAGTTTTTAAAGGAAATATTTAGTAATATTATGATTCATTACATCTTGATGATTAATTTTTCTGTTTCGTATAACCTGAAATAACATATTCTAAATTTTGTAAATAAATTTAGTTTGATTGGTATGTTTTGCGTAGATTCAGACGCAAGTTTAAGAGAGTTATTGAGTTAAAGTGTAAGCGGAAATGATTTAGAATGATCAAATTAAATACGTCGTTTAAAAAGTATATTATAATTATTACAATGATTATCGTTTATGAATTATCTTTAATACACATATGTACAAATGGCTGCAATATACATTTGGTGTTAGTTCGTACTGTGACTGAGATAATCCTTAAAACAATAATATGAGTGCTACAATTATCATATTATCTTGTTCTTGACAATACATGAAGTCCAAAAGTCAATGTACTGTTTTATGAATCATCAAATATTTTAGCAGTTTAGAGTTCACTTCTAGTTTTGTGATGATGAATATTATTAGACTATATATTTTTTCGTGTTCTCAAATAATTTTTGAATGTTATAGAAGTTTTTAATTCTGTTTTAGTTTTTTCTTTTTATTGAAGACATATCAAATATAGAAAAGTAATCAATAAAAGTAATATATTTAGTATAATAATCCCAAAAAGTTTTTGAATGTTTCATTAGTTAGTAATATATTTATTATAGTATAAAGAACTTTGAAAAAAATATTCTGAAGTATTTATAACATCTTAGTCAATTTGAAGTTATAACTTCTGAATTTAGTTATGTTTCGTAACAACTAATTTATTCATTGTGTAATGTCAAATATGTCAAAATTCACAAATAATTTGAGTGATATTATCTTTAGTTATTCTATACATTGTTTTACACTTATAATATTACTTTTATTCATTTTTATTTGTTTTATTCTAACAGATATACAGTAAATCTACACTAACTCAAAGTAATAAGGTTGTTCGAGTTTATGAAAATCCTAGTTAGTGGAGTCTTTCTTTTCGTTTTCCTTTGACAGTGTGGAAAATGAGAAGGGAGATATACAGTAATTTATTTCAATCAACTCTATAGTTTTAATACATTATACAGCTGAATGAATTATAGAAAATGAGCTTAAAAAATGTTATAACAGCATATACTGTAATGTATAGTGTTTAGTAACTTACTGACTACAGAAATTTAATGCTTAATACCACAAAGACTTCCAGATATCGAAAATACTTATTAATTATAATTTCATTATAATTATGCATTAATTATAATTTTTATATTGTCAAGAAATTTTAATTACTCTACAATTTTTTGAAAAAAGTTGTCTGAGTTGATGAGGTCTGAATTAGCAAAAGTTTACTATATTATGAAATAGAATTTTTTTCATATATGTACATATGTAGTGTTTTTTTCTAGAAATATTACTGTCAATATACATTTTTTAATTCTGTCTGCCCTGTGGACACTAAGATTATGGATTTGGCTGGGCCAAAAATGGACAACCAGATGGTGGTCCATCCCAAATATGTCAAGACAGTTCTGACATATCTGGGATGGACCATCCCAAAAGAATTTCTGGGTTTTTGACATGCCTGGATTCTGTAGAGGGATAGGCTGATATTTTAACTGCCTTGCCATTTAGTCATTGCCAATATGCAAATATGGTAAACAATAGTAAAGTTTTATTTTAGGAAAAATGTAACAATAACTAAGAACAGTGTTTAATACAAGTCGATCATCACTAATCTGGCATCATTGGGATCTGTAAGATGTTGAATTAATGATTTTGCTATATCGCAGAAGAGAAAAATTAGAATGACTTGCCTGTGTTTGCAAGTGATGCCAACAGTAGAGCACTTCAGTTTTGATTTTGCTATTGAGTGACACACTTCCCCACTGCTAGCCTGTAGTCTAGGGAGCCATCTCATACAAGAGTTGGTCATCCCTAATAGTGGTATACCATTAATGTTTCTTGTAGTACTTTCCATGAGAAAAAGGTGTTTTAGTCCCAGATGGGAATCTTAGATGAAAAAACCCCATGTCTTTCAGTTTCTGTTGATATCATGGTTGTTGCTCGTTGAATATTTGATTTATATATATATTAATTAAGCTTATACTATATTATTATTTCTTTGTACTGATATTTGAAACAGTAATAAACAGAATTACATATCCTACAAAAATAAATTTTTACTTAAGTATCATGTAATAAATGTATTACGTATCATGTTACATTTTGTGTTTAATAATAACAGAGTTACAAAACAGATTCACTTATAAAGTGTATGTATGTATAATATGAAACAATTTTACAAAATTTTCTGATATCTTTTTATTAAATGAAAGGTAGCTTATTTAATAAATCACGGAATCTTTTTCTCTACAGAGTTTACAAATTACATTGCTCATTATAATACATGAAGTAAACATCTTATTTGTAAAGATCATAAGACTTACTTTAAATTAATAAATATCTTTAGAAACAAACAGTAACAAGTTAAATTTAAAAAAATTTTTTTAATTGAAAAATTATCTGTTTGCATCATTTTATATAGAAAGGCAGTATCATTTACACTACAGACTGTGTGAAACATTCTCTTTATATTAAAATATATTATTAAAAAATAATACAAAGAAAATTAAAGACAGGTATTCTCACCTTTCTATAGTAATCTTTTTTAGGTACTTTTATTGGCATTTTCCATTTGATAGAATGCTTGAAGTAGTCTGTATTATAGAGTAGCAGTTTCCAACCATTTTTGACTTGGGTATCTCTCAGCAACCCATTTTCCTAAGTTTTATTTTGCTTGTTTGTCAAACAGTGGCACTTTGATTAATTATACAGCACTGTACAATTATGCATAAAAAAAGATTTTTTTAAATTGAAAAGCATTGGAGTCAGGGACACAGACAAATATAATAAAAATATAATTATATTTTCATTTAAAACTAAGCATTGAGTATCATGATGTAACTTCAATGCAGAATCCGAATATTCTTATAGTACATCAGCCATTATTAATTTTGTTTTTCGTGTATTTCCTGTTAAAAATCACTGTCACAGAAGGACAAAAGTACTCATCTTTAATCCTCTGTATTAATTTCTTAATAATGTATTTTGATATCATTGGGTGTATGTTTTACAAAATTTGTGGCTAAAGCCAACTAGTATCATTTATTTTTATAAGATAAGTATTTATATTTTATAACTATATTTAACCATCTGAAGAAATTTAACATATACTCATCCAAATAGCAAGGAAAGATATTGTGATTGTTGATTTCTACAAAATTATTTTTTCAGATAAACATTACCTAAAATAATTAAATCCATTTATTAGCAATATGCTAGTTCTGAAAATTTTTGCACATAATATAATAAAGGCAAATAAAGATGCAATTTAGATGCAAAAAGTAAATTATACTATCTTTAAAATAGGATATTATAACATATAGTATTGAAAATGGATTGTTTAATAATTTCTAANCATTCTCTTTATATTAAAATATATTATTAAAAAATAATACAAAGAAAATTAAAGACAGGTATTCTCACCTTTCTATAGTAATCTTTTTTAGGTACTTTTATTGGCATTTTCCATTTGATAGAATGCTTGAAGTAGTCTGTATTATAGAGTAGCAGTTTCCAACCATTTTTGACTTGGGTATCTCTCAGCAACCCATTTTCCTAAGTTTTATTTTGCTTGTTTGTCAAACAGTGGCACTTTGATTAATTATACAGCACTGTACAATTATGCATAAAAAAAGATTTTTTTAAATTGAAAAGCATTGGAGTCAGGGACACAGACAAATATAATAAAAATATAATTATATTTTCATTTAAAACTAAGCATTGAGTATCATGATGTAACTTCAATGCAGAATCCGAATATTCTTATAGTACATCAGCCATTATTAATTTTGTTTTTCGTGTATTTCCTGTTAAAAATCACTGTCACAGAAGGACAAAAGTACTCATCTTTAATCCTCTGTATTAATTTCTTAATAATGTATTTTGATATCATTGGGTGTATGTTTTACAAAATTTGTGGCTAAAGCCAACTAGTATCATTTATTTTTATAAGATAAGTATTTATATTTTATAACTATATTTAACCATCTGAAGAAATTTAACATATACTCATCCAAATAGCAAGGAAAGATATTGTGATTGTTGATTTCTACAAAATTATTTTTTCAGATAAACATTACCTAAAATAATTAAATCCATTTATTAGCAATATGCTAGTTCTGAAAATTTTTGCACATAATATAATAAAGGCAAATAAAGATGCAATTTAGATGCAAAAAGTAAATTAT